AAACAGGGAAACCAGATACCAGATGAACAACGATGCCATAGAGAAATCCGACTGCGAGAGAGATTTAGGAGTAATGATAAGTAGGAACCTTAAGCCAAGTAAACAATGTGTTTTTGCTCGTAACAAGGCTAATAAAGTACTTGGGTTCATACAAAGGAGTGTTAGTTACAAGACTAGCGAGGTCATCCTAAAACTGTATCTTGCTCTTGTGAGACCACACCTGGACTACGCAGTTCAGTTCTGGTCACCGTATTACAGAATGGATATAGAATCCTTGGAAAGAATTCAGAGGAGAATGACAAGACTAATCCCGGGCATTAGGAACCTTGAGTATAGAGACAGGTAAAGCATCTTAATTTGCACTCCCTCGAGAGACGTAGAGCGAGGGGCGACCTGATAGAGGTGTATAAGTGGAAGGCAGGGCTAAACAAAGGGGACATAACAAAGGTACTCAAACTATCCAACCAGGAGCGAACTCGTAACAATGGTTTTAAATTAGACAAATTTAGATTTAGGCGGGAAATAGGTAAACACTGGTTTGGAAACAGAGTAGTGGATGAATGGAACAAGTTACCAAATATCATCATTAACTCGAATACGCTGAATAGCTTCAAACATAGGTTGGATGCTCATATGAGCAATAGGGGTTGGGTGTAAACGGGACTGTCCGCCCAGTATGGGCCAATAGGCCCGCTGCAGTTTCCTCCATTCTTATGTTCTTATGTTCTTACTAAGTATAGAAGCAGATGTGTTACATAAGACTAGTTTTGAGGATCTGATCAAAGACTGCAATTAAAAAAAGTAGGAGAAAACTTTTCAACTATAAATAAAGTGGACGTATATAAAAATAAACATTATTTTCCATCTTACTGTAAATTTTGTTTAATTTCGAAAAATAACATTTTATTTTATGGTTTATTATTGTTTATATTTTGAATTACATATATATGGGGGGGGCACCAAAATCTTTTAAGTGCTTAGGGCCTCTAAGGGTCTTAATCCGGCCCTGACTTATTCGTCATGATTTGCTTTTCTCGTGCACAATTTTACATGAACATGAACATGAAATGCTAGTGACAGGGGGGAAGGAGGTTCAGGGGAAGAATAAAGGGAGGATTGAAGTGAATTTTAGGAGAGAATAGGTGCAGTGGCTAAACACCGCTTGCCGTGGGGCAGGTTCAGGTACATTCATTAGCCAGTACATGACCAGTGGCCAGAACTTGCTCTCGAGCCTATCAGTGGTAAAGAGGATTTAAGTAATATGTACACGAAAATAACTGTTGCTTGGGATAGAAAAAAAAACCAACACTAAGGCCACTTATTAAAGAAAACAAAATACAGAAAAACATTGTTAATACGCCTGCTGGGTGATCTGTGCGCCTGTGCCAACTCTCATTCATTGTTCTGTATTTTGTTCACCAATGTTGAATCGTTTTCTGTATTAAACAATTAATATTCGTGTATAATAATGAAAAAATCTTCATTTGTTAAGTTTTTGGTTTATTTACCAAAGTTTTAATCGTTTTTATTAAATAATTAATATTCATTTATAATAATAATACAATTCACGAGTCGTCTGTATACATGTGTAATTTATATTTGTGTAAAATAATAACTTATAATTTGTCAGTTACCAGCGGCTGTTATTGGTGACGAAACGGACTTGATATTGGTAGCGAAATGGGGTGTATCCGCCAGGACTGTCCAGGCACCTGTATGGAGCTATGTTAATGCTGTTAAGTATGAAGTGGACACATCCTGCTCATAGTCAACAATAAGTAAGTTCATTAATCCCGTAGAATATTAATACGTCCATTGACTGTCTGCAGGTTTCCAATTTCAATTGCAGACACAAGACTAAAAAATGGCAAACAGATAACTTCATATAATTTCTTGCGTAAATCAGTATTAAAGGAGGTCAATATACCTCCATTAGCTGCCCTCAGATTTTGCAAAAAATTTATTTTATTTTTATGTATTATAGTGTGTTATATTAAAATCGGACCTTCATTTCTTGTGCAAATTAGCAGTTTTTAAGAATTTTTTTTTTAGTATATAATAAACCGCTTATTTCTTTCTTTGGGTATTAGAAATATGTTTTTCCTATGGTTTGTGACGAGGTTTGGACGAATTTGACATTCATTTCATCAGAAATCACTCGTTTTTTTAGACCCCCTCCCACAACCTTAAGGGAAGATGTATGGAGTTTTGGGGTTGGGGAAATGACAGACACCGATTATTTCCAATGGAGAATAAGGCCAAAATCCTTCAAAAGTCATAAAAGGCCAAAGGAAAAATTATTTTGGTAAAGGTTTACAAAACTGTTATCACCTGAAGGAAATGTGCAATTTGGTTTAAATTTTTTGTACACACTAATTGGATGATGTTAAACACAGAAATGGAAACGACAATACAAAGAACCTGACCTAACATACCCATAGTTTGGGTATGTTAGGTCAGGTTTTATTATGTTAATTAATGTGTTAAACAACTTAACTTAATATTAAGGTTGATATACATCACCAGTGGTGAGGAGGAATATGTGGAAGCGTTCACCATCATTTATGGGAAACGTTTCTTGAAGAGGGATTCAGGGAAATAAACAACAAAAATGGCGCCGGGAGGAGAATAGTGAAGTGGGATAGAGTAAATAAAAAAATAAAATACTTAAACTTACCAGGTACTCCCCGACTTACGACCTACCCGACTTACGACCTACCCGACTTACGTCCACCCGCACTTACGACCTGCCTCAGTCGTACCAAAATTTGGTCAAATTATGTATTTTGAGTCCCAAAGTCAGTACACAGAAAAAATTTTCATCTGTAATTCACTTTAAAATGGCTGGCAAGCTTAAAGGTGAGTGTTTTGTGGTGCTGAGAAGAAAAAGAGGCACCCATTTTAGATTTTCTGTGTTATTTAAGAATTTCCGACTTACGACCATTTTAGACTTACGACCTGGATGTCGGTTCCTAACCCCGTCGTAAGTTGGGGAGCAGCTGTACTGTATACTAGAAAGTTGTCTTTTCTTTTAATATACTTAAAATCATCAAAACAATAAGTATGCCAAAAATAAAGAAAATCAACAAACAATGATAAGTTTCATAAACGTTTCCCTATATTTCTAACACCGAAAGAAATATAAACTAACTTAAGCTACCCCTTATTCTGTGTGAAAAAATAACATAGAAAATCACCAAACCAACCTAACCTAACTTAATCGGGGGCTTTGTTCATGCCCCCTACATCTTACCTTAATCTGAAGAAGAATTGGGTTCTTCTGGGTAGTCAATGTTTGAATCGATTATTTGACATGGTGCACGTGGGAGTGGGTCACTTTGAGGAGGGTACAGGCGGGCTGCTTGAATGCAAAACCTGTGCAACGAGTCGTGTTTATTGTTTCCAACAAACAGATAACATGCTAGATACTGTTCCAAATATTCAGCACAAATTCCAGGTCGGGAGCAGGAACTGATGGGGGAAAGCTTCTCCGCCCGACATACAGTATTGGAAAAATAACATCTCGGTTATCCTTAATTTCTGACAAAAATATTATAGAAAGAAAGTGTTTTAGAATTGTCCAAACATTTGGAAAAACGGTGCACTAATATAAAACACCCAGCAAATTCGCACCAAAATGACGGTCAGGTTAGAGTATAGAACACCATAACCCCCCACAAAAACTAACTTAACCTAACATAACCTTATTTTGGACCTTACCTGCTACTGCGGTGGAGGATACAGCTGGGCAATCTGGTATTGTAGTGGATTCCTCCCCCACAAACGCTGTTTGTCGCTGGCTAGCCGACCCTGCGAATTCCCCAGTGTATGCCTCGTGGTCTGGGTCAACCAGCGCCGCCTTACATGACGGAGGTCAAATATTAAGTCATGCCTATCCCCCGCTATATAAGACCTGACCTCGGGGTGACCTACCTCATTCTACTTACCGCCAAGCAACATCAATCAACACCTCCTCCTCCACTTCTGCCTGGTGGCCCTCGCTCCAGCCGACGACCATGCCGACCCACAAGCTGCGTGTTCTCCTCCGAGCACCCTCACCAACCAGCTCTCCATCCCATCCTGAGTGTGAACCAACATCTCGTACCCCACGGTATGCTTATGGATAGACAAAAGCATTTCTGTCTTTTCTTAAAAATAAACCATTTCCACATGTAGGACTGTCTTGATGTTGGTAGGGCACCGTGATCTTGTAATACTTGGATTGCTTCACTAATGTTCTGATAAACTCTGAATAAGAGCTAGATAAGAAAGAGAGCACTTTTAGCGCACCACCGCGATCTTTCAAAATGGTTACTTCAGCCTCCAAAATGACTGCTTCAAAATGATTGGCCATCCTAGTCACACGACACGATAATTGAAAATCATTGATTGCCATGTCACAAAGAGGAGGAAGGGAGGACAAGAGAAATGACTCGGGCAACGTGACGGTACAGAAATGTACGCCTAGAAATATGTGAAATTCTCCGTAATATTGATTTCCACTAGAAATGATATTGAAGTTTTATGTTTGGTTTTATAGTCTTTAAATAGCGTTTCCACCAGACATTTATATTTTGGGGGTATTATAACCTATAAAATTACCAACAATAATGTATTACTTGTTTAAAGTGGGCAGGGCTTTGAAGTAGAGGGAAAATGCCAGGTAAAATACTAAAAAAAAAAAGCACTAAACAAATTTTGAAAACCTGACCTAATGTTTTGTAACCTTTTTAAAAATTATAAAAAGTTTTACCATATTCATGTTTTTGGTGTTTAGTAGAGGTGATGGTGTTTTTTATTTATTTTATTTTTTTACGGGGATTAACCCACCCGGGCACAGGTCACTAACCCACATCGGGGCCTAGGGGGCGAAAATGTAATAATAATAATAATAATAATAATAAATAATAGTCATAATAATTCATAATAAACTAAAAATACAAAAATGAAAAAAAAGATCAAAATTGAGAAACAATATATGTATGTTGTGTTGTCAATAGTAAGAGAAACAATTGAGACCCTGCAATTGTGTGTAAATGAGGCAGAAAGTCAGATCAGCAACCTGGGACTTGGTGAGGAAGGATCCATAAACTCAAAGTGATGTTTAATATTTTTACAAGTTTGGAAATGTTAGGTCAGGTTTTCAAAGGTTTGTTTGGACCCCCTCATTAGGCTAGGTTTGGTTTGGTTATATTTGGCTGGTTTTATATGATTTTTTTACACATTTCTAATACCCAAAGCTCTGCCCACTTTTAACAATTAAAATTGTGGGTAATTTTATTGGTTAGAATATTAGCTCAATTTAGCGAACCAGTTGTGTAAATCGAGGGTAATTCCATGCCAAATATGCCGCTTGGGGTTTGTTTACATCCGCTCAGTCTGTGTCCTGCCACCACTGCATCTGTTGTTCACTGCTACCACTCAGTCTACCTCTCAGTCTACCACTCAGTCTACCACTCAGTCTACCACTCAGTCTACCACTCAGTCTACCACTCTACCACTCAGTCTACCACTCGGTCTACCTCTCAGTCTACCACTCAGTCTGTTTCTGTTTAGACATCATGCCAAAAGTCTCTCAGAAGTCTCAGAAAGGAAGTGGTGTGGGGAAGAAAGTCAAGAGTGCAGCTATCAATTGTAAAAAGTTTAGAAATAATAGAACAAATTTAAAACAAACACTGACCCCCTAGTTTAAAGTAAGCCATCAGTAATGTTTCTATGTACATACCGTGTGTCTGAGGTGTCTCTGTAGGTGTGAGCGTATTAACAGAATTAATCTTTATTTAATGAACCAGTTCACTAAATCAAGCAAAAAAAATTACGAAAAAATTCCTAAAGCTAAATAGAGAGTTCGTTATATCGGATTCCGTTAAGTGGAGAGAGTACTGTAGTCATAAATTACCTGTATAACTTACCATTATAAATTAGTGAGACTAATTTGATTCTTTTATGCTGGCCCCAAACTTGTCTCTGTGCTGCTCTTTTAGCATTATTGATAAATGTGTTTTGTCATAATTTTTCTCAATTTGGTTGAATTTATTGTATTGTTTGAAAATTTGTTCCCTGTGTGTACCACTCACTGTGAGAAGAAGTATTTCCTAGTATATTTAGTGCCTTGTTTCTTATATTTTTCTATCATTTCCTCTTAACTAAATGAAATTTTCTTGAAAGAATTGTGTTCTACAATTGATATTTTCAACTCCATTCATTATTGTTTTGTTACAATCTCAAGTATAGAAGGATGAAGAAATGTGTCTGACAGTCTAAGGGAGAACTTGAGACTCATAACAATTCAGAATCGGTCTCAGTATAGTTAGGTACTGCAACTGCCACTGCATGTTATGACCATCAGGCCGTAAAAGAAATACTATCCTATTTCTGGTCTGTCACCAAGAAGGTCTATAAAAAGAGAACCAAATTTAAACGATTTACTAATAAAGATTAAAACTTGCAAGGTAATACAAAAAAAAAAAAAAGATCAGACTTTGTTACAATAAACAATATTAAATTAGTACACTTCACTTATAAACTATATAAACCTATACCAAGATCACTACCAATACCACCTTGTTATGTTTGAGGGAGAAACTGGCTGAAACGTGCTTATAGGGAGAAACAATACACACGGTAGAGGAGGCCGAGAAAATCTATTCTCCCTGTCAATACTCAACCTTCTTTTGATGTAGGGGAATGGAGTCCCAACAGTGAGGACACACACAGGGGGCACCAAAGAGTATCAGCCAACCTAGGCAGGGAGTAGCTTGTGGCCAACTGGCTCACACTACCCTGCCGACTTCCCACCAACCTTTGGGAGTGGCGACAGGGATGTTTCCAATGGAGGTGAACCAGGGTTGTTAGTGGCTTCTGCTTCAAGACTTGTACAGAGGGGGTAACGACTCCTGGGGTCTCCTCTAGTGTAACAGCTTCAGCTGCTGAAATCTATCATTGTAGGGTAGATTTCTTAATTCAGGAACAATTTTGGTGACTCTTCTCTGTATTTTTTCTATACAGTAGTATCTATATCTTTTCTAAGGTATGGGGACATTCCTTGTGCAGCATTTTCCAAGTGCGGTCTCAATTAACTTTTATATACAGTAAAATCTTGTATTTTGCCAGAAATATAGACTGGAAAAATTGCATCAAATTCAAATTTGCCAAATGCAAATACCTGTACATAAACTAATGGGAAAAATAATAATATAGACTGGCCACTCTACATCAACCTCTGATTTTTCCCATTTATAACATCCAAATAATACAAATTCTGCCTTTATTGACCTGATTGTGCTTTCCGGAACTAGTTTTTAGGCCTTCCTCAAGTAACTTAATCACACGCTGCTTATCCTGCATCTAGTACTTGGCAAACTTAACTCCCTTATGATAGTCCCACTTCTCCTTTTCCTAATTTGGCCACTTAGGTCGGCCTGTCCCACCCCCACCAGTAGGACCCCCAGTAGAGGTAGAGGCCATTATCTTGACTCAACAGGTGGTAGCACAACCCACACAACAACAGCCCAGGCGGTCGCTAGGATGACCAGGGAGTAACTGGTATGAGGGCTGTGACGTCATACAAGACGGCGACCAGCTGTTCTGTCTCGTGTCCTGTGAAATGATTGCCAAATGGCAACCCAGTATGTATTTATTTAATTTGTTTATTATAATATATTTATTTTACTAATTATAATTATATTATTTGCTGTATTCTTCACACATACTGGTACAGTATAAAGGCGACACATTTCATACGGGCAGTCATGAAACTGACTCAAGAGAAGTGTGTGGCTGTAAGCCCTGAGGGAGAGTGTGGCTGTATGCCCTGAAGGAGAGTGTGGCTGTATGCCCTGAGGGAGAGTGTGGCTGTATGCCCTGAGGGAGAGTGTGGCTGTATGTCCTGAGGGAGAGTGTGGCTGTATGCCCTGAGGGAGAATGTGGCTGACCAGTTACCAGAAACATACTTATGCTGCAACATAAAATATTACACCGTTCAGCTGTCTGGATCTCACGTTCAGCTGGCTAGATCTCGCGTTCAGCTGGCTGGATCTCGCGTTCAGCTGGCTGGATCTGTCTAACTCACAATATTTTTCATGAAATATAAGACTTGGTTGCGTGCATTAGTGCTTTCATGAAATTAAAAAGCGAGGAAATGAAATACATGAGAAATATGAGATCTTACTGTAGCACAATTAAGAATACACCATGTAGTCAAGGAAAGATTATTCATGCTTTTTCCTATTGTTTCTGAACATGTGGTCACTAAATTTTAATTGTTTGTCATTAAAACTCCAAGACCCTATTAAACAGTTTCTAAATTAGTCTTTTTTAGGTAAGTGGTTCAGTATACAGTGACCCCTCGGTTAACTGAACTCAATCCGTTCCAGAAGGTGGTTAGATTAACGAAAAGTTCATTAACGAAACCATTGTTTCAATGGGTTTTTGAGTAATTGGTTCCAGCTCACCGAAAATTTCCTAAATTCAACAAAAATGGTAGAAAAGTTCACTTACTTTGAGGTGTGTATGTTGAAGGCTCCTGGATGATGATGATGATGATGGGATTTAGAATGGGGGTGGAGGAGAAGGAAGAAGAGAAGGCATTGGGATGGAAGAGAAGTCACCCCATGGCGCCATTTCACCCATAAAATTTTAGTTCTCTTGGTGTAATTCAAGATTATTTTCTTTAAATCAACACTGCACTGCATTATATATTGTCAATATGTAAAATATATTTCAAAATGACCAATAATTTGCTTGGAAACAAAAAAAAAAGCGTTTAGTTGGAGAGTCTCAAGCAAGATGTTACCTCCAGTGAAAACAAGAAGAGACTAACGCCTGTTTGCTGTGTTAAGAGGCTGGATGCTGCGCATTAAACTAGTCACTTTGCCTTCAATTATGTTCAATAATTGTTAAAATGACTAAAAAATTGTGTGTATTAAACTTTTAAAATTATTGAATAGTATAAACTTCTTGATATTTACTAAAATAGTAAGGAATTTAAGCCCTAGAACCGATTAATGTATTGGCGGACTGATACTAAAGCTGGTTGCCCGGTCAGTGCAAGCGAAAACATGTTGAGGTCGGTTCCTAAGAAATTCGTTAACCAAATTTTTGTTCGTTAACCGAATTGAAGATCCTTATGGAAGGCAGTTCGTTAACCGAGGTGTTAGTTAAACGAGGGGTCACTGTAGCTTCCTTTATAATTCTCTCTATTATCTTTACTACTTATGAAGTTAATGCTGTTGGTCTGTAATTCTTTGCTTTTTCTTTTCTCCTTCTTGAAAAGATTTATTAAATAAAATAGTTAGTGGGGTCATTAGTTGCCTCTCTCAGGATCTGGTGTGTACACCAGCCACAAAAAGTCTTGTGACCTACCCCCGTGCGGTTACATTTTTTGTGACAAACACATTCTTTATGGTATATAAACAGTGTTAGGCCTGTACTTACCCCCCCCCATTAGTATGTGGTGGTCCACCCCTTGTTGTCAATCACCATTTGGAGCCGTTTTGGCATAGAATGAGACAGCTTCTTGAAGTAATCGACGTCAAAATCATTTAACCACATCTTCCTGAGGGATTCCTTCAGTCTTGGCACGGACGATGTATCCATGGAATACAGCTTTTGTTTCATATATGACCAGACATTTTCAATTGGATTTAAGTCTGGCGAGTTGCCAGGCCACTCAAGCACTCGTATATCATGATCACTGAGCCATTTCATTGATTTCTTGGTTGTGTGGCACGGTGCACCATCCTGCATAAATAAGTCACATCCATGAATGTCATAAAATGTGAGCAGGTGCTCATTTAACACCTCGATATACCGGTCACTATTCATTGTAACATTGTGAGGGAGGAAATACAAGCCTCCTCTACCCACAGCACCACTGAAGCACCCCCACACCATCACATGGTCCGGATGTTTCACGGTCGTCGTACCCTGTTCCCACTCATCTTTACACACTGAACTGTACTTTCGTCACTCCATATCACCTTTGCCCACTGCTGTGGTGTCCAGTGTCGATATTTGCGGGCAAAGCCAAGACGAGCCTTCCCCATTTTGTCCGTGAGAAGTGGTTTTTTTGCGGGGCGACGACGTGGCAAGTGCAGTTCCTTTTGCAGGCGATGCTGAATGATACGCGGTGCCACGTTTCCCAGGACGTCAGGGTGGTTCCTTTGCAACTCGGCTGCTGTAATGTGTGGAGTTTTAAGCACTTCTCTTCGCAGAAGGGCATCTGTAGTCTTACTAGTCTTGCGTGGACGTCCAGACCGAGGTTTGGCTGGTGGAACTGAGGCAGGAGGCAGTTCACATGCAACTGCCTTGAGCCGGTGGATGGTGGCTTTGTTTCGTCCCGTACGTCTAACAATTTCATTCACAGGCACCTTTTCTTCAATTAAAGTGAGGATTCTAACCTTCTCCTCTCTTGTAATATTAGTCCCAGGCATCCTGAACACAATCAATGAAAAATATGGCGCATAAACACAGTACACTGGTAATCCACACAAGGGGGCGCTTGGAAAATCTGACACAGATCCACTCAGACGGCAGCTCATTGAGCACTGCTGGTTTTGCTGTGGTTCCCATGACACACCAACCCGGGAGAGTTGCCAAATACTGTCGGATGTCGACTGGGTAATTTTAAAGGCGGATAAACGCAATAATTCCTGCGACACTCACCCCTTGTTATAGAGGGCCGAGAGTCGCACGACTTTTCGCGGTTGGTGTATGTTGTCAGGTCTATAGCTTCATGTATGTTTATGTTTTACAGTAGTTTATGAACTAATGATTTTATTATAGTTATGTTTCTCAATTTATTTATGTTCCCACTTTCCAATGTAAATTCTAAAGGGTCTGATACTGTGTTTCCATATAGTTGCGCTGCCACTTGCGTCGGTGTTAGTGTATCGGCATCACCTTAGTCGGCTACATATTGGGGTTTTCTCTCCCCTTTCTATTTTCATAATTGTAAAATGCTCTGGGGTTATTTTTCATATCTTTAGTCAGTTGTTTTTCAATATTACATTTTACTTTACTTTTGTTTTCTAGTTCCATCTCTTTCTTTGGTATATTGTTGATACCCCTGTGATGTTTGTTGTTGCAAAAATCTGTTCCAGGCACATCTTTGGTTTTTGATGGCTCTTGTGGCTTCTTTATTAAGCCATGGTGGGTGATGTCTATTATTTCTGGGTACAACTTTTGGGATATATGATTTGACATTGTCTCCATATACACAGTAAACCCTCGAAGATCCGGACAAAAAATTTGAGGGTTCTGGGCTAAGAAGCCTCCTAGAAGTTTCTCTAAGAAACATTCTGAAACCAGAGCAAAGAATATTGTATGCCCTTGGGCGCTGGTTAACCGGTCGGTTGCGGTGGACACAGGTGCCAGAGGAGGTGGGAAACAGTTGACAATTGTTGTTTGTGGTAATATTTTATCATTCACTCTAGTAATGACACAATGTTTCTTATCATGTTAGCCTAGGTACCATAAAGTCATGGTTTATATACGGTAATTTGTTTATCACTACATTAGTACTGCAGTTTTGGTGTTTCTTATATCATTTATTATTCACCGGAAAACCGGACAATCGGCTTTTGCGGACAGGTGGTGCCCCCTTTAGTAAAGGATCTTCGAGGGTTGACTGTACTACTGTTAAATATTTCCCAGGATTTTGAGGGTTTTTCTTCCAGTAGTGTCTCCCAGTTTAACTTGAAATGGTCTTTAATTCTCTTGTAATTTCCCTAATAATAATTATATTTAATTGACCTTGTGTTTTTATTAACATATAGGTAATTCATTAGATAATTAAAGGTTTTAACATTATTTGTGGTTATAATTAAGTCTAGTACATTTGGTTTGTTTTCTCCTCTGACTCTAGTGATTTCTTGAACATGCTGATCTGTTGAGAGTCTGTATTGCACATTAACCAGAAACGTCAGGAAATTATTTTGCAGAAGATAAATATTGTACTGTCTCGCCTTCAAAAAATCCCTTTAAGTGACGAGGATTGGCAATTTATGGAATATTTTTGTGATATTTTCTTCTTGATCACCAATATATGTCAATGGGCTACCTCCCACCACCATCAATGTTACTATCCAGAGTGTTGTGTCACATCGTTCTGTTGAGTCTAACAACCTACAATATACCATTTAGGATAGAAGATAATTTTCTCATTACATTTTGTAATATTACTGTAGCAAGTTTCTCCTGAATGTTTTTTTATATACACAAACACTTTCCAGCTAATGTTACATAAACAGAACCCAACTAACCTAACCTACCTATTTTACCTAACCTAGGATAGATAGGTTAGGTATCTTATACAGTACCTGAAAAGCTATATAATGTAATTGTAGCTGAAGTTTTTGGAAGTGTTCCTGTGGAAGAACCGAATCATTCATCATGTAAATATGCTGTACTGTACTGTAGTGTAGTGTTCAAAGGTAGAAAGTAACCAAAATATACTGTATATATTGCTGCAAATCCTCATCATTTTACGGCATTTATCCTGTAGGACCTAGAGGAATGTTTTCTCAAGTCCCTGATTAATGTGTGAAGTAGTACAGTGCTGAATTGTGTATAGGAGGTGAATATATGTGTGGAGACAGTGGGCAGTTTGTCAATAGTGCATCGGTGACTTCATGAGTGAGGATCTCACTCACACATCTGCTCTAAGTTTGCTTTATTCTTTTCTTTACTGATTGTCAAGTTACTAGTATGTACAGTATGGTTAAATTTAAGCTCCAGTTAAAATACTACGACTATTTTCTCTTTAACAACTGTACGAGTTGTTCCTGCCTCCCCCAGTATGACACCCAAACATGCACGTGTCTCTCAGTCTGCTGGGTGACTGGCTGCACTATGTGGCCTACTCTCGGCGTTGCCTCAACAGTGGTTTGTGAGTGCAACGACGTATATTTTGTAACTACATAAATGAGCTATGTATCATTTTTATTGTTTATTATAGCAGTTTTTATTAATTTCTGCTGTGAAAGAGACAGAACAAAAATCTTAACTAGGTACCAATATATTTTTATTTTATATCATATACCTGTACACTGTGTATATGTATATATATATATATATATATATATATATATATATATATATATATATATATATATATATATATATATATATATATATATATATATATATATATATATATATATATATATATGGTGATTCAGCAAAGTGTACATTAAATTGGTGGATCTAAACTACAATACATAGTCTCGATTTACGCGGATTTGGTTTACGTGTTTGGTAATTTACGCGGCACCTTGCCAGAATGAAAATTTTAAGTTATGCGGTTCATTCAATCATTTACGCGGGAAGCGGCGCAGGGAGTGTGCGCATTAGGTCGCTCTTACGTTATCGCTGACGTCATATGACGTATCGGACTGTGATTGGGTCACGCATCCTCACCTCCCTCCGCCACTAGCTGTGATTGGTCTAATGTAACATGACGTGCCCTGCTACCAGAGGGAAGAAGTCGCTGACCTAGCCGGGCCAGTCTCATTGTTCTCAGTCTCCGTGTATACAGTTCTCTCTTGTGCCCGCTATTCTCCTCACAATGGCTTCCGCTGGACCCCCACCACCCCCGAGAAACCTTGAATTACCTGGACCAAGCCATGATAATGTGAAGGAAGTCATGAAGTTGGGGGAGAAAATCAAGCTCATCCTTGACAAAGACACAGTCAAGCAGCGGCATGAAGTGTCTAATAACCTTCTGTCGAAAGTTATGGAGCCGTATGTCCAGATGTATCACGACAACATCAATGCTAGTCGTCAACGTAGTTTTACGGACTTCTTCATCCGCAACCCACCACAACCACAGCCAGCCCAGTCAGTGATAGTGACAGTGAGGATATGGACTTTGAGGGGTTTGTCTGGGAGGCCCTGCAAACCTCTGTGAATAGTGATAGTGATTCACCGGAGGGCCACTAATCTGCCCTCTGCCTCGGAACCAGCCCCCATCCACGTATGCCGACCCATCTCTTCTACTAACGTAAGTGTTAAACCTTGACTTTTCTTTTATCTGGTACAGTATATTATTCTCTTATTGATATTTCTCTTCTATATTATGTGTGTGCGCATACCATCATAAAATTAAGATACTATTTTTACTACAACGTAGGTATTGTGTCGGAAAAAGTGGAGTTTGGGGGTCGGCCCGGTCTCTATTTCAATTAATCCCATATGTTCTGTTATTTCGTTTACGCGTTTCTCGTTTTACGCGGACCTCCACGGGTTCAATTGACTTCGTAACTGGAGACTATACTGTACTGCATATATATATATATTTTTTAAATATGCTACACAAGAGGTGCAATTAAGATTTAAGCTAGTCACAGTGAATGGGTTTAATGTTATGCTGTATTGTCATTATCAACATTTTAAAGCCACTTTCCATGCTTTACAGAACCAAAATGCAGCAACACGGTAAAGAAACAGAAAAGCCACCAGACTCCCAGGGATCTCAAGTACATCCTCTGATCAGTGTGAAGGAAACTGTACCAAATTTAGAGGAACCTGATGCAGGTCTTCATGTTGATGATGTTATAGAGGATTGTGGTAAGATATTTACAGTCTTGTCTCCATTGAGCAGCACATGTCACAACTATCTTCTTTCTATACACTTGGTTTTGTTTTTATTCTTTCAAGTTCCTTTTCACTTTACTGCTGGATGGTTGGTTGTATGGTATTCATATATTCCTCTCTTAGTCTCAGCCACAATATATATTAACAACTCACCTCTATTCTCTTTTGTCCCATATAATCAGTTCATCATCCACCTCTGTTTTTCTTTGCAGTTCTTTTTATATAGAATATACCTCTTCCTCATGTATTTTGTTATATCTGCAACTCAACTCATACTTGTCAAATATAGGACAGACACCCACTTTTATTACACAGTACAGTATTACCCCGCTTTACGCTGTTTCACTTAAAGCGACTTCTCATATACGCGGTGCCTCGCCAGAACCGAACTTTCACTTAACGTGGTTCATCTACCCATATACGCGGTGAAGTATAATTATTTTTTTTATTTAGCTCATAAAATTCATACAAATTACCCGGCCAGAATATAATTTACATTGCTGGAATTCTTACAATATGATGATCATTTTGAATATAAACATCATGGATTTTGCATTAGACATACAAATTTTCGATCTAATGTAATAATTTGGTTTACACAAAGCAAATATTTTATTGTTTGTGCAAAATATATGAAGTTTACATTCAAAATATTCCCTGACCTGCAAGGAATCTAGAAATGTCAATTATATTATCCTAACTTTAGTCTGAGGTATTATTTATTACTAAACGTTAAAATCTAGTGTTTTCACCCAATCATTTCTCAGAGAGGTAGGGGCCAGTGACCTGGGAAGAGGGGGGATTTGAGTCCATTAGTTGAATAGACATTAACCTGGCGACTGTATTCCTCTTAAATATTAATTGTTTGAGCATACCATCATAAAATTTAGATGTTATTTTTACTACAACATAGGTATTGTGTTGGAAAAAGTGGAGTTTGGGGGTCGGGCCAGTCTCTATTGGAATTAATCCCATATGTTCTGTTGTTCACTTTACAAGGTTTTCACTTTCCGATTACCCTGTGGGTTCAATTGACGCCGTCGAGTACTACTGTATTCCTTCATTGTAGGGATGGCGTGCATGTTCAACCACTGGCTAAATAGGCGGTTATCCATACCTTCTTATTGGCCTTGATAGATCACTGGAAGATGATTCCTCAGATAATCTTTCAGGGCCCGTGGGTTAACAGCGCGAGAAACATTATCGCTTCAGCTTGAAGTCACCGGCAGCGTTAGGAGTCAAGCAGCAGCGTCAAGCGGTCTTGCGGCTTTAAACCTGGCGCTCTTTTCTCCCCTTGAAGATATAGGTCCTCTCAGGCATCCTCTTCCAAAAGACACCAGTCTCATCATGAAGACTTTCTTTGATGATTAACCTACTTCCTGGATAATCTGCTTGATTCTGGCGGAATATCTAAGCAACAACCGTATCTGAACTGGCAGCAGTCATCTTAATATTGTGGAAGTTATAATGATGCTTAAATCGTTGAAACCATCCTTGACTGGCCGTAAAGGTCTCTTCCTTGATCCTTCACCCTCTGTTTCCTTCATGTCATCAAACAAGGATCTGGCCTTATGCTGGATAACCATAAGGCTCACAGGGCATGCGTTGATTCTGGTCCTCCATCCACATAGCCAGCATCTCTTCACCTTTTCTGTACAGTACTCCCTCTTTATCGACGGGGGTTACGTTCTGTAAACGGCCGTCGATAAAGAAACCGTCGATACCGTGATGGTTACGTAATTTTTCTAACTATTATTAGCATATGTTGAATAAATGTACCTTTAAGCATTAATGCGTTTCCTTTACACATAACCTTAAATAATAGTGTATAAATAATAATATAATAAGTGGACAAAAATACTAGCAAACTTACGATTTCATTTATTGAAGTGAACATCGGTCCTTACAGTAAACAATACAGTGTACAGTATATACCAGTGTGATGATTGAGGCTTATTAAAAGCGGCGGCCAACAGCTGCGTAGCTCATACCGCTGTCGAGTTGTTTCAGCACTTCATTCTTCTCATTCAGCGTCAGCACTCGTCTTGCCCTCTTAGGTGTAGATCCAGAGGGAGCAGCAGGTCGTTTGGGAGGCATGGTGATATAAGTTGATGTGATGAACCACCAGCAAAAGTTGAAAATCAAAGACTGTTGCCCACGCGGCTTGGCTGATGTCTGTGTTCAGGGAAGGCGGGCCGCGGGTAGACGCTAGTCACGCCACTAGTGCCGCCTAGCGGCGAAAGTACAAACAAGGCCCGCAGAGTTCAAATAAAGCCAAAATAAAAATCCGTCTAAATAATCCGTCGATAATCGAAACCGTCGATAATCGAAACCGTCGATAAAAAATCCGTCGATAAAGAGGGAGTAATTGTACTATACAGTTGGGTCGGATATATGTTCGCTGTACACTAAATCATGATATATAATTACATGTAATCAATGGGGAAAATAGGGTTAGGTTCTGGAGGCCAATAAAAGTGACTAAACTTGACATAAAATGGCACAGTCTTAAAGTTAGCAGAATATAAATTACATTGCTGGAATCCTTGCAAGACAGCTATTTGAATATAGACATCATATATTTTGCACAAGAAATAAAAATTTTAGTCATTTGTGATAAAATATAGTAATTATACTAAAATTTTTGTCTATTGCAAACTATAGCATGTTTTATTCCAATTAATCACTATCTTACAAGAATTCCTGCAATGTTAATTATATATTTTCTTAAGTCAATTCATTGACATTTTATAAGAGAAAAACATAAACTTCCCCTATAGAGGACAGATACATGAATACCACTAGGTAACTATTGTCTGACTCTGGCCCGGCTGTCATAATAAATCAACCCTCCTCTGACTTATGGTCAGAGTGACTGTGGTTTTTAGGCTTAAAGTTTTGATCTTATAAAATGTCACAGACTAAAGATAGCAGAATATAATCTGCATTGCTGGAATCCTTGCAAGACAGCAGATAATTTGAATAATAAATGTCTTATATTTTGCACAAGAGATAAAAATTCCTCACCTGTATCACATTACAGTAGTGATTTAAGAGTTCTAGTGTATGTGCACGATATATACAGTCTCTCCTGACTTCTTACTTAATATATTCAACTTGTGATCTACCTGGACATACTTCCACAGCCATGGTCGTGATACAGTATTACCCTCACTTAACGTGTTTCACTTAACGCCGCTTTTATCATATATACGCTGTGCCTCGCCAGAGCTGAACTTTCACTTAACACTCGATTTTTCCACATATACGCTGTGAGTGTGCAAAATATATGACATTTATATTCAAAATATTCCTGGTCTTACAAGGAATCCAGCAATGTCAATTATATTATCCTAACTTTAGTTTGAGGTATTATTTATTACAAAAAAGTTAAGTATTCTGGTTTTCCCACACATCTCCTTGGGACGGTTGGTGGGGGGGGGGGGGAGGGAGGGACCGACCGACCATCTGTTACCCTGTGAAGAATATATTTTTTTTTTTTATTAACTGAAGATATTTGTTTTAGCTCATAAAATTCATACAAATTACCCGGTCAGAATATAATTTACATTGCTGGAATTCTTATAATTTGATGATCATTTTGAATATAAACATCATATATTTTGCATTAGACATACAAATTTTAGATAAAATTTTTAATCTGAGTAAGTATGTTATCTTTTGTGCAAAATATATGACATTTATATTCAAAATATTCCTGGTCTTACAAGGAATCCAGCAATGTCAATTATATTATCCTAACTTTAATCTGAGGTATTATTTAATACAAAATGTTAAAATTTATTTTTTTCACCCCACATCTCTTGAAGGGACGATTGGTGGGGGGTGGGGGGGAGGGTTGGGACTGACCGCGCGGTTGGAAGAGGGGGAGGCAAGGTGGGGTACTTTGATTGACAGATAGTGTCCTGAAGATTATTTTTTTTTTATTAACTGAAGATATTTGTTTTAGCTCATAAAATTCATACAAATTACCCGGTCAGAATATAATTTACATTGCTGGAATTCTTATAATTTGGTGATCATTTTGAATATAAACATCATATATTTTGCATTAGACATACAAATTTTAGATAAAATTTTTAATCTGAGTAAGTATGTTATCTTTTGTGCAAAATATATGACATTTATATTCAAAATATTCCTGGTCTTACAAGGAATCCAGCAATGTCAATTGTATTATCCTAACTTTAGTTTGAGGTATTATTTATTAAAATTTAGTGGTTTTCCCCCAAAAATTTCTCAGAGAGGGAAGAGCCGGCAGTGTAGTGTGAGAGGGGGAGGGAGTTGAGTCCATTATTTGAATGGACATTAACTTGGCGACTGTATTTCTCTATTTCTCTTAAGTATTAATTGTGTGCATGTACCATCATAAAATTAAGATGTTATTTTTACTACAACATAGTTATGTGTCTTCAAAAAGTGGAGTTTGGGGGTCGGGCCGGTTTCTATTGGAATTAATCCCATATGTTCTGTTGTTCACTTAACGCGGATTTCACTTAACACGGGACCCTCTGGGTTCTATTGACCGCGTTAAGTGGGGTACAACTGTAAAATATTTTTCACATTACACATTTTCGAGTCCCGACGTTAGTGATTGCGCTATGTACTGAGAATTTTTTTTTTTGTAATTCCCTTTAAAATGGCTGGCAAGCATAAAAGTGAGAGTTCTCGTGGTGCTGAGAAGAATAAGAGACAACCATTTTAGAATTTCTATGTATTATTTTCGCCTTTTCGACTTACGACCTGGTCGTCGGGACAGAACCCCGTTGTAAGTCGAGGAGAGACTGTATAGTGATATAAGGGCGAGTTAGGAGTGTTTCTGACTTTACACGAGGTCCCAGTTACGTAACCCTACTATATGTACAGTACCTGCTTTTATTGTACAGTACCATCAAAACCGTTTTATCGGAAATTATCATGTAAATAGATAGTAATTTCCATTGCAATAAACA